GTGTGATACAACAATGCAAATCTTTTGTGTCTGAGAAGTTTTCCATTTTGTCCAAGCTGAATTTGTCTAAACACAGAAATTTATTTGGAGGAAGCAGACAAGATTCCACTTGTCATTCAATATCTCATTTTCTAATTTAGGCTTAGAATCGTGTGTATATATATAAATATGTATATTGCAAGTCTCAGCATTAAAGCAGGTTGTACCTAAAACACTGGTGTACACTGGTAGTTCTAAAGCTGTTTTGCTTTACAGGACAAACAAACGTTTTATGGTCTAAAAAAGGAAGTGGTGGAGCAGGTGTAAGGCCAAGTGTAGAATGTTAAAGGGAAATGATGCTTAATTCTGTGAATGCTAGCGCTAATAATACCCCTGGTGTGAAATTGAGGCTACCAGTTTTGGTTCAGCTCGCCAACTGCCACCGACTTCATGAAGTTTTGATGTGTACCAGCGCTTCATTAATTTTCATTACCTTGGAATTGTGTTTAAGTTTGTAAGACCCATTGTTCTCCTGCCATCCAAACACAACTAAGTGCATAGGTGCATTATATTGCACTGTATGTGATTGTAAAGGCATGAGTACCCCCAACTGTGATAATACTAAATGTACAAAACTCCACATCAACTTCCATCAAAAATGATATTAAACCAAACAAAAAAAAGCAGTGAAATATAATGAAAAGCTTATCATTAACAGTAGTTGCAAGGTAGTAGTCTGTAACCCTGTCTGTCTCTCTTTGTCCTTATGTAGAGTCCATGTGAGGAGGACAGATAAAGTGGGGACGGAGGCAGCCTTCCACCCCATCGAGGAGTACATGCTGCATGTGGAGGAGCAGTTCCAACATCTGGCCAGACGTGTCCACGTGGACAAGAAACGAGTTTACCTGGCTACTGATGATCCGTCCCTGCTGCAGGAAGCCAAGACCAAGTCAGTGTCCAGGAGTGTGTGTGCGTGTGTGTGTGTGGTTGTGTGTGTGTGTGGTGTTAGTGTTTGTGGGGTGGGTGGAGAAGTGTGTACAATCGCTATGTGAGAGTACGTTATCCATAACTATCTAACTCTAATCATTTTTCCCTTCATTTGTCTTGCGACTATCTCACTCTGCCTTATTGTCCCTTCCAGGTATCCAGACTATGAGTTCATCAGTGACAACTCAATCTCGTGGTCGGCAGGCCTTCACAACCGCTACACCGAGAACTCGCTGAGAGGCGTCATCCTGGACATCCACTTCCTGTCTCAGACCGACTTCCTGGTCTGCACCTTCTCCTCACAGGTCAGTCCGCTCTCCCCAGTCCACATTTAGAGACGGCAGGATGTGGTCTTTTGATGTTTTTTCTAATGAAACATCAAACATGGAGAGCTGAGTAGAATATGAATGTGTGCATGAAAAAGCATGGAAGTGAAATAAAACAAATAGTGTTCATATATATAAAAAACATGCATTTATCGTTGTTGTGTTGGGGCATGGGTTGTTGCATAGATTTATTCATATGTAACGGTTCCTATCGGACTTCCTTAAAGGGATAGTTTGGTTTTGATGTGGGGTTGTATGAGGTGCTTATCCACAGTCAGTTTGTTACCTGCAGGAGATGGTGGTCGGCACGCCCCCATTTTGGAGAAGCAGACACGGCATGGAAGCTAAGCAACAAAAAGTATTTTAGCCAACAAAAAAAAATGGCCCACCTTATTTAGGTAGCCAAAATACATTTTGTTTCTGCTCCCACCCACAGCAGTACATTGCTTAGCTTCCGTGTCAGGACTTCCACCTGCTATTCCAAACCGGAGGCGTGCTGACCGCCGTCTACTGGAGGTACACACTGACACTGACACACTGACTATGTATAAGTAGCTCATACAACCCCATTTAAAAAAAAAAAAAAAAACTATCGCTTTAACATGCTACTGAATACCCATAATATACAGTTAAAGCTGAATTATTGGTTTGACAAAACAAAAAACTTAAGGCAACACGTAGTGTTTCCAATTTTTGGAGCTTTCATCCCAAGGCCTTCATACTCAGTTTTCATGGAGAGAGTTCAGTTGTTTAGAAAACAAAATCAGGTCAAACTGACAAAATGTTTTTTGTTAAAATGTCCTGTTAGAGCTTTAGGAAAGACAATTGTCACTTGATGTTTCCAATTTGTCACAAGGCAAACCAGATCCTGAAAATCGAAATCATGTGATTGTCAACAACCTCATTGTCCCATTTTCCCTCACGTTTCAAAGCATAAAAAACAATTAGCCCATTTATTACGGCTTTAACATTACAATGGCATTTGTCGTCCATTATTCTGATCATCTTTAACATGGAGTGAACGGGCTTCCTGCCAACCAACCCTAAAAATAATGTGTGAGCCACATAATTCCTATTCACACTCTGGGCTTATTAGTCCACTTCAAGGATCTGACTGTAATGAGTCGCTTAGCACATTTTATCCCTCTTTTACCAGGACTGAAATGAAATGTGTATGTCTTACAGTAAGAAGTCCCTTTGTCCCTCTACCAGAGCTGTTCTCTTTCCTCTTCAGCTTTTTATCAAGACAAATGTATTTATGTGCATTTATAGATCTAAGTATGAAAATAATCCCTGGTTCTGCTTTTGTCTCAGGTCTGCCGTGTGGCCTATGAGATTATGCAGATGCTGCATCCAGATGCCTCCTCTTTCTTCTACTCCCTGGATGACATCTACTACTTTGGAGGTCAAAACGCCCACAACCAGATCGCCATCTACCCCCACCAACCACGCAACAGCGAGGACATTCCCCTGGAGCCTGGCGATGTGATCGGCGTGGCCGGCAACCACTGGGACGGATACTCCAAAGGCATCAATCGCAAACTGGGCCGCACCGGCCTCTACCCTTCCTACAAGGTCAAAGAAAAAATCGAGACCGTGAAGTACCCGACGTACCCCGAGGCTGACAAACTGCTCAACTCTCAAAAGAAGTAAAAGAAGAAATGAAAAAAATAAAAGAGAAGGAGTGAGGAGAAACACGCAGACTCCGATTCCAGGGAAGGAGGCTGCTTTTGTACAGAAGAAGAGAGGCGTACTTAGTGCGCTAAGCTGAGAAGAAAAGAAAAAGCCTGTACCCAGGGGTGATAGGAATGAGAATGCACTCTGTGTGTTTATGTGAGAGCGTGTGTGTGTGTGTATGTGTGCGCGAACGTGTGTGTATGCACTTGTGTAAATGCCTGTGCATATGTCAGGTCATGGAGACTTGCACCCAACCACTACTCCCCCTGCCCGATGCTCTGACGTCGGGTCTGTAGAGATGTAGACGTTGAACATTGATTTTAAATAAAGCAAGAAAACAATTAAAATCCACACAACTGACCGAGCTCGCTTTCCGGAGACAGGACTGGGACTACTGTAAGACTGGCACACACCAGAGTTAGCTTTGAATCAATGACTGAAAAAAAAAAAAGACAAACTGGAAAAAAGTGTTTTGATTTTTATTTAATTCTTTTCAGTGGTTTTGATTCTAATCTTGCCTTTTTTCTTTTTCTCCTGTTTTTTTGTTTACTGAATGTACTGTATCCTCTTCTTGCCATGCCCACCGCTACCCCATTCCCCCACCTCCTCCTCCTGCTCCACTCACTGTGCTTTCCGCCATTTTGTCTCTACACGTGCAATTAATTTTAAAATACCATATTGTGCTTTTATCAAGTGTTTTTAACGGTCTTAATTTTGTGTGTATGGGGCTTGTGCATTGTATACTGTACAGTGAGCGTGTATGCGTGCGTGGATGGATGTGTGTGATCAAGTGTGCCTGTGTGTGCTGTTTAAGTCTAAGGGGCCATGTCGCGACCTGGTGCCTGGTTATTGGTGAGCAGTGTGTGTTTTTATTTCCGGCTTTCCTCCCGACTGAATAGTGTTTGTGTGGCCAGCGGGAGACAGGCGGTGACAGTGGGGATTGTCCTGCGCCCCCCCTAGCACTTAGAACAATGGTGAACTCCAGTCACTCCGCTGGTGACCTCTAGTGAACAATGGTAAGATTATGTGGAGTATGGTGAACTCATGGTGCACGCACACACCACAGACACAGGAGCCGTCCTGAGGCTCACCAAAAGAAGCACTCCACTGAGATAGTGTCCTTTTCTCTGCTGTCTCTTCTGTCCATCTGTTTGTTTGTTTTTTTTACTTTTAACATTGCTGTTTTAAAATAAATAAAGAAAAATTTGCCTATGTTTAAAAATGATGATGCTATGTCATATCAAACTCAGAGTCCCCATCATGAAGGCTTTTTTTTTTTTTCATAAATTATGTTCTTGGGCATTGTCTTTGATAACCACAGATCGAATAAACTTGAGAAACCAACACGGCATTTTTTTTCCTTTTCGGTCTGATTCTGTTCACCATCTGCTCCTCCATCTCTTAACGGGCGACACCTGCTCATTCAATCAGGCAGCACATGCTTCAAATGCATTACACACATTCCAAACTGAATATGCAGGCTTTTTTATATATATAATTAAAGAGTTCATTTCCTGAAGGGTATCCATCTATTTTTGAAGAGTAAAAGTCATTACCTTAAGTTCATCTTTTGATATCATAAAACGGAGGACCCTGCTTCTAAAATTGATATCATTTTGACATCGCAGGATCAGACCTACCTCCTACCTTCAAATAGTGCCAGGAGTTTGTCTCATAAATCATTCAGTAAGAATCCATTTTCAAGCCATTTCAGTGGGAAAAAAACTCTTAAACCTATCTTTGATTTACATTTGAAACTGAAGAGCAAGATCAGTACCTTCAACTGAGACATTACCATCCTTCATTTTAATATTCCGTGACAGCTACATGACATTTCTTCCCCAAATACCAAACATCTCTCCCCGCGGAGCCCCAACGCAGGTACGTCATTAAAGCACCAGAAGACTTCCTGCTCTTGTCGTGCGTCCTACTTCCTACTTCCTGCATGTCTAAATCGTTTATAATCTCGTTCTCTGTCTCTTATTTATGGGCTCTTGTTACTTTCTTACGGAGGGGGCTCTGGGAGTTTCATTACAGATCCCTCTTTAATTTCAACGCTGATCTGCATGCTTCATTGGACACCCATAAGAAAAGCCGCAGCGCTGGTAGGGGAGATGGTGTGTGCAAGGGAGAGTAATAGTTTTATTGCTTTTTTCCCCCCCTCCTGCTTGACAACAATCCGCAACCAATTTAGCCCACGTTGACAAAGCGTTCACAATGCACAGGCAGCATACAGCAGTTCATTGAACATCTCTTTTCAGTAGGAAAGAGTCCCTCGTGGGCTTTATAAACGCACACGCTAACTGGAGGGCGCTTTAATTAAAATACACTCGTTGCTGTCACTGTGGCCTGTAACAGTCATTTAAGAGAGACGTTAGTTCAGTTAATTATTCTGTTAATTGGACTCCGCTCCTGATAGAGAGCAGTCAGGGTTTTAGGAGGCGAGTTTCTTTCTCTGCATTTGTGGTCTAATTGTTATGTAGCACGTTGAGAGCACAGTGAGGCCATTTGCGGGCCTCCCCCTTAAAGTTGTGTCTTGAAAGGGAAACGGTCCAATCTGAGGGCCTACTCCATTTTCAAACGAATGTGTCAACAGGTTAGATTTTCCCACAGCCTTGATGTAAAGCATGGACTCACATGAGAGATGGGGAGCAAAATTGACAGTCCTTTTTTGTTTACCCACACAGTGTTTCCTTGCTGAGCTGCAGTGGAGGGACGGTGAGCCAAAGAGACGAGAACAAGAAACCTCTACTGTCATGCTAGCTACGAGGCAGTACGAAAGCACAGTGGTGTTTTGAGTTAATTGCTAACATCAGCATGCTAACACTGTGACACTTCTAACATGCTGCTGTTTAGCATAATTACTAGGTTCACCATGTAGCATTTTAGCATGCAAAAATGTGCTAATAAACAAACCCAAGGTACAGTTGAGGCTCATGGGAATGTCTGAATTTTGCAGGGATATGGTCATAAATTGACATTTTGACCTTATGCAGGCACTAGATGAAAAATTGGGATCACCAAAGTCATAAGTTATCCTCTAGGGACCTTTTCTGCAATGTTTGCAGAGTACAGCAACCTTGTATCTCCATTTAATAGTTGATGAGCTATTTTTACACATGTGAGCCTCCTGGTGACACTAAATGATCACCAGTGTCATTAGGATTCATCCTCTGGGCATCATGGAAACCTGCACAAAATTGTATGGCAATCCATTCAATATTTGTTGAGATATTTAAGTTTGAATCAATTGTGGACCAACTGACAATGGCATCTATAAAGCCATGCAGTGAGTGTGTCCAAAAATACAATACCCACTTGACTAACGTGGACTTTTGAAGCCTCATAGTCAAATTGGCTGAACTTTAAATTGTTGCATGGATCAAAGATTTTAGATTTTGTCTCTCATCTCTTATACTCGAATCCCCTTAGGAAGGATTCACTTCACAGCCATGAACAATTATAGTAACTAATAATCCTTAATTGTATGCATTTCATATTCAGCATTGTGTGAGCTCGTCTGGCAAGGCCTGAATGTAACAGACATTCATTTATAAGTCCCACACACTAGTTTTAAGGGGAACCTGAAAAATAGTGAACCTCTCCTTTAATGCTCCAAGAACATGGACCAAGATTTCAATGTGGCCATGTAACTCTGATGGAATTCATATTATATAGAGATAAGTGGGTACGCCATCGCCTTGTGGAATTCTAATCTTGTAAAGGGCAGCTGAATTAATTCTGACTGACTCATGAAAAAGGGAGAGGAAATGGAAATGATTATTGTAGTCCTGGCTGGCTCCAATCAGTACTCTGTTGGCACAGCAGTAACAAGTGAAGTCTGCCCTACGGTACCTGGCCCTGCACATCAAAGCTAAGGGGAGGAACTCGAACAAGAAACTGTCAGACTTTCACAAGGCAAAGAAGAGTGTAGGGTGTCAATCTTTCTCCTCTTCACCTTAAATCAACTCAGCATCGGTCGCAGTTTGGCTTTTATTAGCTTTGTATTTTTAATCCCACCTGTTATATTGACTCACTATACACCTGATTTTATAAACCTTATTCTTGGCACGGAGCAGGGCCAATTTAAGCCAGTGAGGCGTACGTCATCACTCTGAGGAACAAAAGCGTTTTGTTTGGCACACGTACTGTATTTAACGGTGATTCCTGCTGTGAATCCAGTAAATCAGTGTTTTTAATAGAGTGCTGACACATCAGAGGACTATATTGCTATTTGGAAAACAGACACCTCTTTTAACCAACATTTTGCTACAAAATCTTTATGAATGAAACAAGGAATGTGTATTTTTTTTCTTATTTGCTTCATATAGTGGGTGTACCAAAGCTACTCCACACTCTGTTTGGAGGTGAATTAAAACCAAACTGATGATTTTTAGACCCTTACAGTGAATTTGGACATTAGGTTTTCAAGGATTTGTCCTATTGTCAGACTGCTTGAATGGTGTACATATATATATATTAAACCTTTCAGTTGTATACTATATCTGTACTTTGTGCATAGATAATTTTTGCTAAAAGACCAAATAGTGTCTAATCTATTGATACATTACATATTCATACATGTAACACAGTACTAGCAGTCTATGTATTTAGTATGAAATATTGTTATCATCCTGCTGCAAGCGTAACAGTAGGTGATAAAAGGTTGAAACCAGGTTAAAACACACACAAGTAACTAATTAAGTCTCAGTGTGAACATTCAGTTTCATTTTGAGAGTAGTGTGCAGTGTTCGAATACACCATAGCTATCAGGGGAGCCCTGTTTGTCAGGGGTGGGAGGGTTCTAATGTATGCACGCATATACACAAATGCTCATCTCTCTTTCAGAGGAGCCAAGCTCCCTGTAGCTCCCTGTAGCTCCCTGGTAGTGCTCTGATTTCTGTCTGAAAATATCAGCAGAACACGCTTGACAACAATTTCATGAGTTTCATGTACCGGCAGTGGAGCTGTTGACAGTTTCATAAAGACCACAGCTGGTCTAAGAGCTCTGTGATGTCACACAGATAATGGAGCTTCAGTCACTCGACACTCTGTAGCTTCCTTTGTTGTAAAACAGACAAAGCGCTTTGTATTACCGGCCTGATGAAGACCAAGTGTATTATTAGCACTGTGACAATGATGTCATAATAGTGCATATTAATACATGGTAATGATGGTAGTGAATGTAACATTGTGATAGAATATGATGATGTTTTAAAGGATAATTTTGGTTTATTGTCTTTTATTCATAGTTTTGGCTATTATTCCTATCAGTAAATGAGTTCTGAGAATGCATCTGACTGTGCAAGAAACTCAAACAGTGTAGACAGTTATCCAGATTTTAAAGCCCCAGAAATCTTCACTTCAGATCATTATTTTTTGTCTTTCACATGAAATATTCATGTCTAAACAGTCAACTCACCAACTGTCTTCAGATTCTAATTTAAATGTTACTAAACTCTGATTGGTAAATGAAAGCATGTGACATTACCCTTTTCCAACAAAGCTCCACCTACGTCAACCCAGCAAAAATGAAGAAATCTCTGAGGTGTAAAAAGAAAAAAAAAATGGTTGGCTGAAAATAATGTGTTTATGTCAGATCCCATTGCTCATAGTGAGAAGCTGAGTAAGAAAACACTGTAAGTTGTCAGGGCCTGTAACTGTACATAGTAAACATCCATCACTGTTTACAGACCAGCTGTACTTACCATGGTTGCTCTCACATGTGGTTTTCCTGGTGCCCCGAGGAATTATTGCCATGTTTGGTTTACAATAAAATAAAGTGGTTTAGATAGTTAGGTTATCAATCCCCAGGCCATGGACAAGTACCAGACCTTGGATCATATGCTACTGAGCTTCTAGGAAACGATATGATTGGGCAAAAAAGCACTGCATACTAATTATATAACTTCATACATTATTAAGGGCAATTATTTTTTGTAGTAATTAACTCGAACTTGGGGCAATCCGTCTGTCCTGCATCTCTCCCTGTTTTACGCCTCCAACAACAACACACATTTTTAGCTACAGAAGATCCTCACCACCTTTCAGCATTTAGCAGATTAAATCTATGCGAGAGGTCTACCTGTATGTTTTTATTTAGTAATTCACCACAGTGACATACAGACCAGATTAAGGTTCCATTTTTGCTCATCCAATCTATCTTTCTTAGTCAGTCTTTTTCTGTTTCTTTCTGTAATTTTTTAACTTGATATTAAGGATTGTGTGTTTTCTAAAAAAAAGAAATAAAAGTTACATGACTGGTGAATGTATACATGAACCCAAAAACAAACTACTGTGAGAACCCCTTTATCTTCTAGTCTCTACTCTCTGTAGTTATCCAC